CAATCTCCGCTCGAATTCAGTTCGCGTCAGACACGTCCCGTCCTTGATATTTCTCTAAGTCCCACAAACGGATAGTGGGGACTTGTGTAGCACTCCTTACGCCGTAGTACTACATCTGTTCCGGTTGCTCTAATCAATATTATTAATACCTAAAATACTTCGAGGCCTCAAGTCATCCTGTAGTCCAAGGTACAGCCTTTATATGCAGCGCAAGGTATCATCTCTACCTGAGGTTATGAGCTAATGTCCAGTAAAGCCCAAAGAGGATGTCAACTCGGTATCAGGGCGGTCTTGCTCAGATGTCCCTCGCTAAGTCTCAAGAAGACGCCGCTCTGACCTTAGCGCTGACATCTCAAATGATGGCGCACACATCTCTGGGCAGAAATGCCGAAACAAGGTCACGTCGGGGTCTACCGGGCCTTCCGAAGCAAGGTCGACGCGAGACCTCGGCTGCGACCTCACGAGAACCTTACGACGCATTGGGCGTGTAGGTCCCGCGTTTGCCCAGGGCCTTGATCTTCGGGAGTAATTGCGGATGATGATGGCCTTGTCAGGTCCGTTCATAGCGTGCTAATGAACGTGGCTGTGTCGGTCTAATGCAGCGCTTAGATTGCTGCTTTGCTGATCACAAGGCTGATTACCTGCATCGCATACCGGACAAATGAACGTTTGCAGCATGTCTGGGTTCGATATACATACACAACCTACCTCTCGGCCGAACGTGCGTCCTCGATGATGACAGGGCGCCGCATTCAGCTACGGTATGTCCCCCGTACAAGATGATCTCGGTAGCAGCGTTGCGCAGCAGGGCCGGGCATACAGCCAGTGTTCCATTGCGGCGCACCGAGCATATCCGAGCGTTGAACGTTGAACGCTTTGGACAGTGTATCGGTGGTTTATGGCGATTACCTCGAGATAGGGCTGCTTCCAGATCGTCATTGCAGGGAAGCAGGGTCCAAGGCCGCCCATAAGCAGGTTGGACTTCCATATTCTCTCTGGTATGTACACCTGCGAAGTCTCCGTGACGGCCCTTCAAATCTGGGGTTTGAAGGTGAGCGTACGTTGACCCATGAATGTTGCATGCTAATGTCCAGAACTTGTCATGCATCGCAGGACGATGTACGCTCGGAATCTACGTTAAACGTCTCGGCACAAGCGGCACACACATTTGAGATATTGACCGTGTCGACGTGGATCTCTCAGTACCTCCGATCCGTAGCGTTGGAATGACCGACGCCAAGCAAGACCAATGTCGACACAGGTGCGGGGGAGATCCTGCTTCTATATACACGGTCCATGTCTGCGTGCGTGAACGCTGCTCTCTGTAGAATGGCAGGGTCCGCCGGTAATACAACGTTTCATGCATCGTCGTATGTCACATGTCATCGGCGACAGACGATCCATACAGAGAGACGTTAGGCTTTGTCGTGGACAGAAGCCAACTAAGATGGCGACCTTCCGTCGAGTACTAGTACTTTAAGCATATGTCAGCGGTGAACTGTCCTGCGGCGTCGCAGGCTGAGTCGTCTATATCCTTCCATGCTAGCGTCATCGACGTTCAGAGAATCCCGAGCAGAAACTGGCTAGCCGCGGGGAGAACCAGTGGTCAGGCAGTCGGTATGAGGAGACTCGATCAGCGCTTGGATTAATCAGCTCTACCACCCTATCATATACCGCTAAAATACCCAATCTATATCATACAACAATCTCCTCCACCTCCACGCCCTTCTTCTCCTCCCCCTCCTCCTGCTCCTCCACAAACGGATGGTACTCGTCCTCCTCGCCAAGGTGCGGCGGCGGGAACGCCCAGTCGACGAGCAGCGTGCAGACGAAGCTGACGGCGAGCCCGACGGCGAAGGTGAGGTTGAAGAGGCGCGTCCAGCCGGCTGCGACGCGCGCACCGTTCACGCCCGCGACGAAGCCCGGCATCAGCGGCCACACGCCCATCAGCCACGGAACGACCACGCGCGGGTTGAAGCCGTGCCCTGGGTGGAGTTACGTGAGCATGATAGCATACGATAAGGCAGCTCTGGGGACTAACAATACCAGTATATGCTCCCCGAGTCGCCGCGGTAGAGGTGGCTCATACGCAGCTTCTGCTTGCGCACGACGAGGTACTCCGCGAGGAGGATGCCCGTCATCGGCGCGAGGAAGACGCCAAAGCCCGAGAGGACCGTCAGAAACTTGTTCGCGGTGCCCACGAGCCGCCACGGATTGATCGCGAGGCCGACGACACACAGCACGTACCCGCCTCTGCGGATATTGATGTACCGCGGCGCGAGCCCCGCCATGTCCATGCCCGTGCTCACGCTGTTGAGCACGGTATTGATCGCGAGCTGGCTGGCGACGAGCCCGAGGCTCGCGAAGAACACGCCCGCGCGCGCGCGCGGCGACGAGCCGTAGTGCTCCTGGATCGCCGCGAGCATGTATATCGGGTTCCAAATCACCTCGCCGAACACCGCCTGCCCGCAGCTGGTGACGACGATCCCGATGAGCGCGGTGAGCGTGATCGTGAGCGGCGCCGCGAGCACCTGGGAGAGCGTCGGCGCGCGCGGGCGGCGCGCGTAGCGCGTCCAGTCGCTCTGGCCGAGCGTGCCCGCGCCCCATGAGCCGAGGAGGCTGGTGACGCCGAACATGAACGCCCAGCCGCGGCCCTGCGGCGCGGCGCTGCGCGTGTGGAAGAGCGGGCCTGCGGACCCGCCGGTCTGCGCGACGGCCCAGGCGAGCATGCCGAACGCGGTGCCGGCGAAGAGGACGAAGGTGAGGAAGAAGGGGCGCTGCATGCGCTCGGGCGGGATGGAGATGGTGAGCGCGAAGACGGCGTACCAGATGAGCATGCCGATGAGGTCGTTTGTGGTGATGCCCGCGGACTCTGGGAGGGTGTTTTTCATGTGCGCAAAGCCGGGGATGATGGCGCCGATCTGGGTTGCTTGGTGAGTAGGAGTGGGAGGCGTGGAAGCAGGGACTTACGAGGACGCGGGTGGCCTGGCCGCCCCAGTAGCCCTGGATTCCGGTCCAGCAGCAGGCGGTGAAGATGCGACAGAGGACGGGGAAGTAGGAGCCGCGCATGCCCCAGATGAAGCGGCTGGAGACGGTGAAGCCGATCTTGTGGCGCTCGCCCATCCAGCCACAGGAGACGGCAAGGAGGCCGGTGACGACGCTGCCGACGACGACAGCGCCGATGGCTTCCTGGGCGTTCAGGCCGTAGCTGAGCATGGTGGATCCTGGGGGTGTTCAACGAGCCTGCTTGTGTGAATGAATCAATGGTGCGTACCTGTAGTCCATGCGCTGATGCAAGCGCCGCCAACGACCCAATAACCAAGATAGCCCAGGATGTCCCAAGTGCGGCGGTCCTCAGGGATGGGGATGAGGTCCCTGTTCGTCCAGACATCGTTTTTGTAGGCGGCGTTGTCGTCGATGGGGACCTGCAGCCACTCTGCGAGACCCATGGTTGCAGTCGAGCGGGCGCTCGAGCACCAGTGGGCACCCCGACGCGACTTTATTGTGGACTGCTATCCGCGTCTTCTGGAGTGGGCTGTACGTTCATCCCAGCTAGAAGCGCGGGATGAAATTGGAGTCGATAAGGCTGGCGAAGATATGGATGTTGGCACGCAATTAGGAAGGAATAGCAGGGCATGCCGTCGGGTATTCCTGTCCAGTGCAACGCTGATGTTCCGAATGACCTGAGTGCTCCAGTTAATTACCGGGGCAGGATCGAGAGCGTGATAGCAGGCGTTGTGGCGTCTAGCCGCGCCGCCCGCCAGTTGTCGGTGGCGTCCGCTTCGACTTGACTGCTGAACACCTCAACTGACGGACTGAGCTCGTCGGCAGCGACAAGCTATCTGGACTCTGGAACGCTCTATTCGAAGGAAATATCATGGCCAATCGCTCCTGCGCCGACTTGCGTTGCCTATCTGATAACCACGGGACCAAGGCGGAATACTCGGACTAGTCTGCATGTCTGCTATTACTAGCAGGCCCTGCTGCACCCAACTCTCCCCGCCATGAACCAGGTCCCCATCGTTGACTTTTCCGCGTTCGCCAGGGACGACGCGAGCCCCGACGACCGCGCGCGCACCGCCCACGAGCTCGTCGACGCCTTCACCAACGTCGGCTTCGTCTACCTCTGCGGCCACGGCGTCGACGACGACCTCGTCAATGAGTCCTTCAACTGGGTGCGCCCTCTCCCTCTCCCCTTTCCCCTTACTCACCTCACCCCAGAGCGCGAAACTCTTCGCCCTGCCGTACGAGACCAAGATGCGCGCGCCGCACCCGCCCGACGGCGCGTACCACCGCGGCTACTCGGGCGTCGGCAAGGAAAAGGTCGGCCAGGTCGACCCTACCAAGCAAAAGGGCGTCTCCACCTCGCGCAAGGTCCCCGACGTCAAGGAGAGCTTCGAGATCGGCAACGAGCGCGACACCCGGCTACCGAATATCTGGCTGCCCGAAGGTGTGTCTCCTTCCTCCAGTCCCCCCATTTTCCCTCTCCCTCCCCTTATTCCAACTCTGACGGCACGCAGACGCCCTTCCCGGCTTCCGCGCCTTCATGACCCGCTTCTACGCGCGCATGAGCACGCTCAGCGCGCAGCTGCTCACTGCGCTCGCGGCGGGCCTGCGCCTCCCCGACGCAGACATGCTCCGCGCCGCGCACGCGCAGGAGCGCTACCAGCTGCGCCTCCTGCACTACCCGCCCGTGCCCGTCAGCGAGCTGCGCGCCGGCCTGAAGGAGCGCATCGCCGCGCACACCGATTTCGGCACGTTCACGTTGCTGTTCCAAGGTGCGCCTTGTCCCCTGCCCTCCTCGTGTTGCGAGTGAATAACCGGTACGGCGGCCGCAGACTCTGTCGGCGGCCTCGAAGTCGCCTCACCCACCAACCCCGCGCACTTCCTCCCCGTGCCCCCACTCCCGGGCACCCTCGTCGTCAACGTCGGCGACATGCTCCAGCGCTGGACGAACGACCGCTTCCGCTCGACGATGCACCGCGTGCGCGCGCCCCCGCCTGCCACGCACGAGCCCGCGCTCACCCGCGCGCGATACAGCATCCCCTTCTTCGTCAGCGCGGACGACGGCACGGTCGTCAAGTGCCTCCCCGGGTGCGAGGGCGAGGGCGGGCCCAAGTACGAGCCGGTGGATAGTCGCGAGTGGATTAATGCGCGGTTGAGGGCGACGTATTGAGAGTCTGGGGTATTTATTTATTTCTTCTGTGGTAAGATACATCGTGTATTACAGATGAACGTACGTGCTTTACCTTCCTAGCGGAGAACATTCCACCATCCAACCCTAACTGTACACCTCATAATGCAAACGCCCTAAATCACACACACACCGCCGTCCCTCAGCTCTTCCTCACCTCCGCCTTCTTCGCCAGCACCCGACTCCGCACAAACTCCTTTCCTGCCTTCTTCACCAGCGCCCTCCTCCCAATCCCGCGCATATCGATATACACCAGCGCCACATTCCTCCCCGTGTGCATCAGCAGCCGCGTGTTGTGCCCCGCCTCCGGGCCGTACCTGCCAGCCCACAATGAGTTTCATACATCCCTGGTGTATCGTGTGAGAATCAGGAGGGAACGCACTTGTGCCCGGCGACCTTCGCCACGCTCTCGCTCCCGACGTCGAATATCCGCCGCGTCGAGTCGTCCAGCGTCGACAGGATCAGGTCGGCCGAGAGCGCGAGCCGGTCGCGCGTGCTCAGCTTCTGCGGCGCGGAGTCGGTAGTCGGGATCACCACGCTCGCCGGGGTCGGAGAGGGAGAGGGCGTGCGGCGCGGCGGGAGCGCGGGTTTCTCGCCTGGGTGCAGCCTGGCCGGATTTGGCTGGTACGGGGTGTACGGAGGCGGAGCTGAGCCGTACGCAGACGGCGCGGGGCTGCTGCGCGGCGGGAGCGGGGGCTTCCCGCTTCCACTAGCGGTACTGCTACTGGCACCAGCACCGGACGACGACCCGATGACGCGCTTCACGAGCCCCTCGACCATGCCCACGGTCCGCTGGCTCACCTTCACCGCCTGCCCCGACACGGCGTGCACCTGCGCGAGGCCCTTGCGCGTGCGCTCCGAGGTGAGCATCGCCAGCGGGATGCTGGATTGAGGTTGGGTGGAGGGCCCGGAGTTGGATGAAGTGGAAGGGGCAGAGGCGGAGGCGGAGGGGGCGGAGTTGGAGACGTAGTAGTCGGACGCGCGGGTGACGCCGGTGAGGAGCAGGGAGGTGCCTGCGGTGATCGCTTGGCTTCGTTGTAATAATCAGAAATAAGACGCCGTCGCGTGGTGTCCTGGAGGGCGTTCACGTACCTCACGATAGACGCGCCCTTCGTCATCCAATTATGCTCCCCCGGCGGGATCGCGCGCACGAACACCTCGTGCGCGCCCAGCGCGTCCAGGTCCTCGCCCTCAGGGACCTCGATCACGACCGGCTCGTTCTCCTTGCCCTTCTCCCGCAGCGACGCGTCCTCGTGGACATTCAACTTGGTGTCCAGCGCGCCGATCACCTGCCCGTTGTCCTCGTCCACCAGGACGAGGTGCCCGCGCAGGTCCTGGTCTTTGGTGTCGAGCGGAGGCGGATCTGCTTGAGACGGACCGGGCTTTGATTGAGAGTCTCCAGTTGTGTAAAACGTCTCAGCGTATTGCGATAGTATCCCATCGAGCGCCTCGAGGTCAGGCTCCGCCTTCCCAGGCACGCTGAGCACGACGTCCGCCGTCCCGCCGCTCGGCACCAAGCAGTCGTGGAATGTATACGCGCGCGCCCCGTCCGGCGCGATGTCCAGCGACACCGGCTTCGTCGGGTCCAGCGCGGTCTCGAATTCGTCGAGGCGGATAACGAGGTAGACGTCGCTGTCGCCATCGGCAGCGGCGTTCTCGAGGGCGACGGTGACGCACTCGAGGTTGAGCACGCCGGTGTAGGTGCGCCCGGTGCTGGCGAGCTTGAGCGTTGCGCCCGGGAGGCTCAAGAGGAGGTACGCTTCTGGTTGTATGATCGCCATCGTCGTTGTGGATAGAGTACGATTGTATGAAACTGCAGCGAGTTGGGACGAGATACTGACGACATGGTGCGCCACAGCAGCCAGATGGAGTGCCAAGGAGACAAGGACGCTTCGGAAGCAAACGTAGCTTCGACCAATAGCAATCCAGCTCATCTTGACCTTGTTACAAGCATCGCGCCCCTCGAGCACTTCGAGTGGCTGGTATATACAAGACATCGCAAGACCTAATCCCAGAGGAAAGAAATGTACTTTCTCCAACCCCTTTTCTCTAGCTCATACAACTCATCTTCCTTTCTAGCTGCAGCAAGGACTTCCGCAAGCGGAATATCCTCCAGAGCGACGATCTTCGTCTTTTTGAAGAACTTCCATCCGAGGTATGCAGCGAGGACCAGGGGGATGTCCCTGAATTACGGAAGTATCAATATATTAGCTCTGGACATACAGAATAATCGCGGCCCTCACAAGTACGCAGAGACGAAGCTGGCTGGATCCCAACCGCCCTTTGTGAATACCGCAAAGCCATTGGTCAACAAAATGATCACGGAAAGTGCCAGGGCAGCGGCGGACGCGTAGGCTGAGCGGAGCGTGGTCAGCATGACAGGTCGCGAATCAACAAAAAAAAGACTTACGGGTCCAAGAGTTCGACCAGGGCAGTTCTGTACGTGATATACCCTGCTTCTTCAGCGCGGCATGGAGGCGGAGATGATTCACCAGAATCGCGATCCAGGAGATAAGCACGCCGCAGCCCACGAGGTCGACAAGCCAGTAGAAAACGGTAAGAGCGCCGCTCGAGACAGACATGAACGCGAGGAACATGAACGCGGTTTGGAGTAGGACGCAAACATATGGCGCGCCCCATCTTGTCGTCCGGAGGAAAACCTTGGGAGCTTGACCTTTGATAGCGAGACCGTAGAGAACGCGGGTGCCGGCGAGTAGAGCCTGGTTTGACGAGCTGAAAGCGGAAGTGATGACCACCGCATTGACGATGGAGGGTATAGCGGATATACCTGCTGCAGAAGCAGCGATGACAAAGGGTGATTGTGCCGCTGTACCAGAATCGTCGTCCAATCGCTCGTCATCGCTCGATACCAACATTCCGACGATCAGGACTGCGAGGATATAAAAGAGGGCGACTCTAGCAAAGACCCGTTTGCAGGCTTTTGGGATCGCTTTGCGCGGATTACGAGTTTCAGCAGCTGCCATAGCTATACTTTCTACGCCTGCGAAACTGAACACGGCATTGATCATTACCGACCAGAAACCCAGGAATCGTCCCCAATCGCCGGTAGCGATATATTCGACAAACGGACCAGGGTCTTTCCAGTAGCTGAAACCGATTCGATCGACGCCTTTGACGCCACCAAGGTCAATGATTAATCCCAGGAGGATTAGGCCGACAACAAGGAGGATCTTCAGTGATGCAAAGAAGAATTCTACCTCGCCGTAGATGTTGATCATGGACATCCCGACTGCGAACGTGAGGACGATGAAGATGATGATGAATACCGAGGAGTTGAGGTCCGTCCAGTATTCGAAGAGTACGCATATTGCCGAAATCTCCGTGGGCACCTGTACGGCGATGCTATGTTAGTACGCAGTTCTTGCCTATTTTCTTCCAGCAACGCGTGAGTGAACGAAACCACGCACCGAGAGCCAGTTGCCGTAGACGATATTCCATCCCACCGCGAATCCAAGAGCAGGATCGACCAGAAATTCGGCGTGTCGCACGAACGATCCAGTAACAGGGAGTAATGCTGCCACTTCTCCCAGGGCGAATTGGACAGCGCAGACGATTAGGCTAACCACGATGTAACCTAGAAGGGCACCTAGAGGCCCGCCAGTCTGAATTGCCCCTCCAAGACTGAGGAAGAGGCCTGTTCCAATCGCGCCTATACGATAGTTAATGATGGTCAGCAGATGTAGAATGTGGTAACGAAGCGATCTTGCTTGCTTGGAGGGATAGGGCGTACCTGCGAGAGCAATCATGGAGACATGACGTTGCGCCAAACCACGTTTGAGATCCCGCTGTTCGTGTGCAGTCACTACATCACCACCTAAGGCGGGAGGGCCATCGAGCGTATAAGTTTGATCTTTGTACAATGCAGGAGCCTGCGCTTGATACTCCTCGCCGACTTCTGTATCCTTGTAACTGGGGTCGGTCTGAGCCATATTGTAATCTGGTCAGGCTATATGAACGGTATTCTTGAAGCGCCGGCGCGCCTAAACTCCCTGGAGGTCGTCGAATTCGAGAAGCCCTCTGGTGAAAGTTAAATTGAAGGACGGGCGGGATCACTCCTCGTCAATCATCTCACATCTGCATCTTATCTACTCGTACGCGAAACTCACAAAAAAAGACAAATATCGCGTGATGTGGCAGCGATTGCGCCATCGAGGTACATATAGCTCCTCAGGCAAGCTTCAGGGGGCACGCAAGAGAGTACGGTAGTGCAACCGCAGACATACTCCTGAAGATGTGAGCGAATGCATTTGTGTCCCCGAGGTGTCCGACTTGAAGAATAGGCCCGTTCGGATTCCCGTCCCGCGGAGCCACTTTGCTTGCACTGCACTGCCACCCGCCACAACTCGAAGCTTTAACTGAGGTACGCTAACAGGTAGCGCCTTCGGGTTAACAGTCGCATTGTGCAGAGGTATCTATAAATTCATTTTTCGCGGTTTAATCGAATCCGCACGGCAACATGCTTGCAAGTGCAAGTGGCTACCCAGTACTCGGAACCTGAGGTACTTGTCATATGTACTTATTAGTCGCAACCGCTGCATTTTAGTAACTACGCTACAATGAAGGAGCTCAAGTATCTACGGGAACAGTATATACATCTACTTCCATGGCCATTTGGTCGTGGTGCACCCACTGCAGTTCTCGTGGTACGGCTAGGGATATAGTCGTGGTTTCGGCAGACGCGGGCAGCGCCACATGGATTCCCATAGCGGATATTGCCGAGCGTCACGTCACGGCTACATGTCACCAGTGCCCATTTGGGCATTACTTGCCATACAACCCCTAGTTTTTATATTTTCTTCGGCCCATATGGCCTCAGTTAAGCCTTCCTACACCAAAAATAGGAGCATTGTGTCCTTAATCGAGTCTTAGGGAATGGTAGTCACGGCTTGTGTGACATCTTACACTGTCACACTT